ACTCCAGGTCCCAAGAGCACTTATGTCCCCAGCTAGACCCCTGAATTTTCACTTGGGCAACAGGGCTGAGTGTGGCAAGAGCTGGCAAAAGTGGGTTGGGAAAGGCTCTTCCTCAGGGCATGCTTCTTCCTCAGAAGGAAGTGGACATTTGGCCTTCTCTGACCTCTCCTTCCTTTCGGGAACTTAAGGGACTTGGATACCACTTACCTTGGCAAGAGTTTGCTGGACCACGTGAGGGCAAAGGAAGGAAGATAGAGCCTGGAGGATAGGGAGCTTAGAGCCTGCTCCTTCTGTTCTAATTCCCAGTGTGGATCACTCTACCTCCCTTTCCCTATCAGACCCAGGGAAACCAAGAGCCTCTGGGGTCAGGGTGGTGCTGGGAGCTATTGAGTAGCAAGTGTGTCACAAGATGGCTGTTCAAGTCTTTGTTTGGCTCCTGACCAGAGCAAAGCCCTTTAACTTTTCTGTTCCCTCCCTTTCAGGATTTGGTGGCTTCCTCTCTTCTCCCCGAGGGACTTGGTTCTATAACTAGGAAGGAGGGGGACTTTTTGTTGGAGTGGCTGGAAGGAACAAGACAGTTAAGAAGGACAAAGATGTTCGTCCTGGGCTCCTCAGCCTGGACTTGAGACCAGGGTTTAGATGTTACAGCTGTCAGCAGGACAGGCTGTTTGCTAGGGAGGTCACTGTAGGTTGATATAGCATTGTTGCTTTGGGCCATGGGGCACTGGGGAAGATGGTGTCCTTCCTGCATCATGTGGTAAGGGAGACACACCCTTCAAGCCTCTTCAAGAGTGAAGAACACCTCCGCTGCACATTGCTGGATTGCTGCTGGTGGTCTGGGGATGGCACAGTGTGTCCCTCTGAGGAATTCACAGCTCTCTGCATCCAGTGGGGCGGCAGCTTCTAAGGGGCCTCATCTGGAGGACTCGTGGACTCAGTAAAGTGTTTTCAGTCTAGCATGGCCTTCTGAAGCTATGAGCTCACCAGGTCTGGTGACTTCTGGTCCCAGAGAAGCACAGGGAACAACCACATGCTATAATTCTGAGGGTCTAGCATGTGGCCATTCCCAGGTAAGGTTTCAAATACTTGTTTTATTCCTACCATGGCAACATTCCTTCAGTTGATCCAGAAAAGGAACTCGCCTGAATCTGGGCAGAAGCTGGAGCAGAAGCAGGAAAGTATAAGAAACCTTTCTGTTAGGAAGCTGTAGACTGGAGTAGCCGCTAGGTACATCTCCTGTGTGGCCTTGGGTAAGTCATGTGCCCTCTCGGGCCCCCAGTGTGGTCAGCAGCATGTTCTCAACTGAGCGGCCTTCCTCAGTAGAGCCCTTTCCCATGCCCAGTGAGATAGGCCTGCTGGGCTTAACTACCCTACCCAGGGTGTTGTGGTTAGGGTTTTCTCTACAGGTGCCAAAGCTGTTTAGGCCTGGAGTCTGGGGACAGCTGGGCATTGCCCTCTGCAAGCTGGTAGTCTTGTCAGCATCCCAGGGAGACACGGGGAATGGAGGACTTCTGCTGCACATCTTAAAGCCTGGGCCATCAATCTCCCAGAACAGACTGAAATAAAAAAGTGGGTGGCACAGACTGCCACCACATGGATACTTGAAAGAGATTAAAATGACAAGATCCCAAGCCCCAAATCCCTTAACAAATTTCCAATTGCCTCTAAGAGCAGAATGCTGGCAAAGAGGAGGAAACACCTTGTTTTGAACTCTTGGGCGACTAGGAGCGATACTGGAGAAAGCTCCTCTGTCTAGGGGCTGCTAAGAGCCCCACTCTCCACCCACCTGGCCTCCTGTTCCTCCCATGGATACTTCCTTGAGCCAGGCTGGCCCAGTGTGGCCCCCAGTAGGAGACCCTGGCTTGGCTACTATGTGACTTACCAGTTCTGCAACCTGGGCAAGTCACAGGCCTCCTTTGGCTCCTAGTTTCTTCATCTGTAAAGTGGGAATGGCAATTCCTCTCACATCAGGCTGCTTTTGAGGATCCAACAAAATAATCTCCAAGAGGAGAACACCCCAATGCCCAGCTCCAAAGGAGAGCCCAGACCTTAGTCACTTCCAGCAGTCTTCTTAGCAAAGATCAAAGAGTCAGGCCGGTTGCTGTTTCCTCCCTTGCCTTGTATGCCTTGTCCATCCTACAAACTGTAGTTCCTGAAGTCTCCTCCTCCTCCTCCTCCAGGAAGCACTTCCTGAATGATCCTCCAAGGCTTTATCTACCTCTGACTTCCCAGGACCCTTAAAAAAAAAATTCACATTTTCAGTGAATGTTCTTTCTAAAGTTAAAAAGAAAACTTATTTTTAAAGTATGTCTATGTGTGTAAGCGTCTGTGCACAAGAGTGGATTTCCAGAAGAGGGCATTGGAGCTCCCTGGAGCAGCAGCCACAGGCAGTGTCAGCTGCCCGAAATGGATGCTGAGAACTGGAGTCCTCTGCAAGAGCAATGTGTGCTCTTAATGGCTGAGCCACCTCTCCAGCTGCCCCCCACCCCATAACTATTTGCTGTTTCATGGTTGTGGGAGCCAGGCTTCCTGAGTGCAAAGCCTTTGCTTCTTTCCCCGAAGTGCTCCTTTCCTGGACAGCACCTGCCAAGGCGCCTTGCACACAGTAGGCACCTGAGAAACAGGCTTTTGTTGCGTGGCGAGATCCCAGGTAAACAGACATGGTGCCTCTGAGACCAGGTCTTTGTCTATTTTTAGAGTTTATATTTTTCCCCAATTCCACTCTGTCTTTACATTTTAGCCACCCCCCCCTTCCACCCGAAATACAGAAGAGTTTGAAAAATGAGTTGCTGGGATCTGAGAGTGGGAGAAAGAGGAGGCACTAAGCCCTGACTCTTCTTGTCTAGCTGAGATTCAGGCAAGGATTAGCCTGGGTGAAAAGAGGACCTTCGGGTTCATCCTTGGGGAGGGGAGGCAGGCTGTTCCTGGAGAAAGGGGAGGGGCCTGAACCCTGGAGTGCTCCCTCGAGGCCAGCTCTTTCTCCTTGGGCATTTCAGAACATAGCCACTTACTGTTTGGTGACCGGTTAACTGAACCTATGTGGCCACCTGGGTTGTTGGGGCTGAGAACGGGCCCTACAGCCCTGGCTGCAGTGGGGGAAGAAGAGCGGGAGCTGGAGCTGCCGCTTCGGAGGACCTAGGAAAGGCAACCCTAGCTGCCTTCTCTGGGAGAGGGTGGGGGACAGGAGTTTATAATTAGGAGTTGGCAACTGTAACCAAGATAAATGGCCACTTAGCCTACTGGGACCCTTGGAGCAGGGACCTTCATGCCATCAGACTCCACGTGGAGACTTCTCTGAAGATACGACTCTTGTGGCCTCCCAGATGATCCCTAGGCATGTTGTTCCTTTCTTAGCAAGTAAACATCCACTCCAAAACCGACGACTAAAGTGGTTAAGCACCGTGTGCTTTACATCTATTTTACTATCTGGGGTTCACAGTAGCCCTGGGAAATAAGATCCCCATTTTCCCACGAGGAAACTGAGGCACAGAGAATCTGCATCATGCAGCCATACAGCAAACCCACAAAGGTTTCTCTGCCCTGGGAAACTCCAGCCTCGTTTTCAAAAGCCCTGCTGTCCTCTGCACCCATGTCTGGCGTGATGGATGGACAGACTGTGGAAATGAGAGATTCCAGGAGAATTCAGGGATGGTGGAGATGGAAGCCCACTGCTCTACCTCTGCCTTTGGACAAGCTCCTGGCCAGAGGCCTGCAAACTATCTACTGATCTTCAGATGAGAAAATGCCATGGTAGGGCCCGGCCCTGGTGGTGGACAGGCAGAAGTGGGGTTTTCTTCCTCTCCAGCTCAGGGGCCACAGACATTCTTATGCTGGCTCACTTTGTTTTTCCTCCGGACCACAGTGAGAGCTCAGGGGTCTGTTGTCTTACCACCAGCTAGCGCTTGGTGCTTATGACCTCTGCAGGAGATGCTCCGTCAATATTTGTGCGGAGGATGAGGGACCACAGCGGTGCCAGCCTGGTCTCTCAAGCGCCGGCCTACTGGTTTTCACCTGGGAGGCCAGATGTAGCCCAGGAGGAAGGGATTGGGCAGGGTGGAAGGCTTCCTCCCGCAAAGGAACTCCAGTGTTGGACTAGCGGGAGGGGTGCAGGCGGGCGGCCACCTCCACCAGGCCCCTGCTGAAAAAGGCATGACAGAACCTGGGGCAAGTGAAACATTTCTTAGTTGGCAGGGGTGGGGTGGGGGTGGCGGGGTTGGTAGTGAAGGGAGCAGGAGCAGGGAGGCAGGGGTATGTAGTGGAAAACCGACTCCAGTTCTGGGTTCGGGAGTCTCGGGTTGTCCTGGCTGGGGAAAGGCTAGCGATTGGGATCCAGGGTCAGGCTGTTGCTGCAGCCAGACTTGGGTACCCAGAGGCTTTGGCGAGCCCTGCCTTCGCTAGTGGCGGGTGCAGGAGAGAGGGTCGGCCAAGAGGTGCTCCAGCTGCTTGGCCTCCTCAACTCGGGTGGGGTGGGGTGAGGGGTGGGCGTGGCTGCCCCGGCCCGCGGGTGGGTTGGCCCAGGAGCTCTTCTGGAGGGGATGTCCCAGCGCTACCCTCCGGGGCTGCGCGGGGGCGGGAGGGCGCGCGCTGACGGGGTCGGGCGGAGGAGGGGCGGGCGGCGCTGGGGGTGGAGCCGGGACCGCAGCGCCTGCCACCCGCTAGCTCAGCGCTGAAGTAGCCACCGCCGCTTTCGGCTCGCGGACGTGAGGAGGGTGCTCCGTGAGACTCCGGCCTCCACGGCTGCTGCTCTCCTCCGGAGCCTGGGGCTGCGGTGCTCGGGGTCCCGGTCCCTGGCCTGTGGCCCTCTGGCCCACGGTCGCCTTCTCGCTCTGCTCAGGAGAAAGCACTGTGCGGCGCGAGCCACCCTGGGCTAGCGCCCCCCGGGCCATGGAGAGGGGCCGGTGAGGGACGCACGGAGGCGGAGGAAGAGGCTCGGGAGGAGGGAGGCCGAGGAGCAGGGCGCGGGAGGAGGAGGAGGAGGAGGAGGAGGAGGAGGAGGAGGAGGAGGATGCCGCCGCCGCCACCCGCGGGACCCCGGCGAGCCTGACTCCAGACCGAGGATGGAGCCGGCGCTGGGCGCTGCAGCAGCTCCCGGCGCTCCCGCCACCAGGTATCGGCCGGGCCCCGCGGGCCCCGGGGCAAGCGGGAGCTGACTGCACCGCAGCGGCCGGGAGGGGTGCGGGCGCGGCGGGAGACGCCCCTAGCTGGGGGCCGGTGTCTGCCGGCAGTGCGCGGAGGCGGTGGCGGTGCCGGGGGACCGCAGAGTACTAGGCGCTGGGAGGGGTCGGCCGGGCTTGGTAGCCTGGGAGCACCCGCTCTCGCCCCAGCCCTCCTCGTCCTTATCTGGCGACCGCAGCAAACTTGGGATGAGCTTCGGCCGGGGGCTGCCTTTCTGCTGCGGAACGCGCTCGGGTGTCTGCTCCGGCTTTACCGTCTCCCAGCCCGCTAGACTCGGAACAGCCGAGGCTGCCAGAGACCCCGAGGTTCGGGTGCCTAACTTTCCTAACCAGGCTTCCACCCTGAGGCAAAGCGCTGTCCCAGCTTCTTGCTAGTAGCCTCGGTCCAGCATCGGCTTCCACTATGCTGTGATGGGCTGGGGCCGCCCTTAGGAGGCTGGGGCCGCCTGACGGTGCAGAGCCCCACGCGCGAGGCCAAAACAAGCCTGAACAGGGGGTGGGGACTGGGTAGCCTCTCTCAGGCTCCAGGAAGGGACGCAGTGTTTGACTTTACAGTAACAATCGACGGTGGCCTGAGCTCGGGTCCATGGGTTAAAAGGCCAAGCTGTCTGAGGAAGGAAGATGAGACCTCACGGCCTGCTAGGGTGGCACCTTGGCCTGATTTCAGGTGCCTCACCTCTCCCTACCACAGGCCTGCCCTTTCTCGGGATTACATTCCTAGTACCGGCTTCCTGATGGACTTAACTGTTTTTAGTAAGAGGCTCCTGGAGACCCAGGCTTTTGGGGGTCCAGGTGCCAGGGATGTTATAGCTGATCCTTGAGAGGTTGAGGCTGGGACAGGGGAGGTACGTGTCCACTGGGGGACAGGAACTCAGCCCAGTATCTCCTAGAACCTAAGGACAGAAGGGACCCAGGATGGTGGCAGGAGGCAGGCATCCCGCCTGGGCGGGGAACCGCTTGGGAAAGCCAGAGATACTCAGGTAGGTGTAAGAGGCAGATAGACGGGCTTATAGACCCCGGAGCTATTTTCCCTGGTTCCTCAGCCCCTTAGGTGGGGCTTGGCTGCCTCACAAAGAGACTTTACCTGGCAGCCAGTTCCCAGGCTCCAGTCCACAGCAGGCACCACACTTCTAGGCATCGCGATGACCCTGTTTCTTTTTTCAAAGTGCTTCTACCGTCATGACTCACACGCTGGATTCACCAGGGAGATATCAAGCTTCCAACCTATTCTATTCCCCCCGCCCCGCGCCCTCTTGGGTCTTCAGGGAGCTGCTGGGGAAAGGAGGGAGCGGGTGCCCTCGGGTCTTGGACCCTGGCAGGAGCCTGGCACTGCAAACTTTCATGGCTCGCTATTGTCCCTGATCTTGGTGGGCGAATGGCTCAAACCCAGCCCAGGCCACAGCGTCTGTGGGGAGCCAGCTGAAGGGTGTGCAAAAGTGAAAGGAAGCCATTGCTGACTACCCTCCCAGTGCTGCTGGGGGCTTTGGGATAACACTCCATCCTTCCCCTAACACCTTGCTTCCTCCTCTCAGAGCAGACTGCCTCCCCACCCCCGACTCCAAATCCAAATCCCTCTTTGCTGAGAGGTTGTGAAGCTTTGGGTTGGTGTTTTCCTTTTGAGCACCCTCAGTTAGCATATCTCCCCTTACCCTGGTCCTGTGTCACTTCTGCTCAGTGTGGGCTCTGGTTCAAAGGAGGGTACTGATTCTCTGTGCCCTTTCCTAAGGGGCCTAGCTCCAAAGGGAGGGTTGCCTTGAGGGTGCCAGGACAGGGACTAAGTCAGGCGGCAAGAAGGAGGGATACATCTTTGTTCCACTGAGTCTGCAGGAGCCCTGGGTGTCAGGTTCTCGGTGACGCCCAGTTTGTGTCCCCCACCCCACCCCTGTCCCATTTGCCCAGCTGCGGTGCCCCATCCTTGCACACTGGGTGTCTGAATTGGTGTGAGGAGGGAGCATTTGACAGTCATAATCTGGTTCAGAGAAGGTCCTGAAGCCCTGAGTCACTGTATGGTTTCCATGGAAACAGACTTGTTCAGAGGACTCGGTGTAGCGCGGCATTGGGGGGGAGGAAGGGAAACATATAGTAAAATCAGGCTCCACAAGTGTGGTGGAGCTGGACCAACTCCCTTTGGTTGGAATGATGGATGGGTAAGGAAGGCGCTGGCCTCCCCAGAGGAGAGGCTGCCTCCCTCCACCTGCACACAAAGTCTTCTCCCTCGAGGGCCACTTGCAGGCTGCGAATGACTCTCCATGGATCTTCTGGGTAGGTGACTTCTCAGTGCCTCAGTTTCTTTCTCTGTAAACTGCAGGCCACAAGAATCCCCATCTAATAGGCCTCCCAAAGGTCAACACACACTGCAGTGCTGTTATGTGTTGGAGAGGATCATGGTTACTTATCTATCGGGGAGAGGTTCACCTGGCTTCCTGCCCTGTGTCCCAGCTGGTGGTACGGCATCTGCCTGGGCTGGCCTGCCTGGGAAAAATGGTCCTCTGAAGCCCTGGCACCACGGCTGGGAGTCAGCATTGAGATTTATTTAGGATTGTTCGGCCTGGTACTTTGCAGCCTGGCTCTTATTTGAGACTCTACCTGTCCAGGAACCTTGTGAGAAGAAACCCTCCAAGGCCACATGGTTTCGCTTCACCATCCTGGGGGAGGCTTGGTTGATGAGCTTCTTGGGGCTAGGACAGAAGAGGTACAGGTAGAAAGGCATGCTGTGGCAGAGAGAAGAGCTCAGCCTCCATCTCCCCCCTCCCCCCATCCTGGGAGGCTGGTCCATCTGGTTATGAGAATCGGGACTCCGGAGCACAGTCCTTAGGTTAGTGGAGCAGGGAGAGGTTTCTTTTAACAGTGCTAGCCCCAGCCGCACCGGGGAGCCTTGCCTAGGAAGGTTAAGGCTGCCAGTGACACACAAGCGGAGCCTCCTCCCCACAGCCCCTCCATGGCTTGCACAGGGGTGGGGGGGGTGGGAGTCGCCTCTTAGAAGGTTTGGGGAATTCTGCCCCAAATTCCCCAAACTCCCTTCACCCACCCCTACCAGCTAAGTCAGCTACAAGGGAGCTATCTGCTGGCTCTTCTATTTTACAGATGCCCAAAATAAGATTCCTGGGGTTTGCCTGCTCAGCCAGGCCAGAGCCTAAGCTAGCCATGATCTTGCACCTGCATAACAACCTGGGGGGATGCCCTCTGTCTTCGGAGCTCTCCAAGAAGCTTGGCAACTGCCTTCCACCTCCCCTTCTCTACTTCCACCCCCCACCCTGGCAGCTATCTGGGTCTTGCCTTGGGTCTCTCTGGGCCACTTGGCTGTCCTCATTGGTGTTCACAGCACCTTACAATTTAATATCCTCTGCAAATTTCATTAGCAGACTGTTTACTCCCTCTCTCAGGACCATTAATGAAGATGTTAGATAAGATGTGGCCTGGCACACACCGGTAGCCCTGCCCCCCTTCCCAGACTCTTTGCCTTCCAGGCCTTGCCAATGGCCTTGCCTCCCCTACTCGGGACTCCTGGGATGTGCTTCCTCCTGCCTTTAGGCCCCATGACAAGAGCTGAGGGCCAAGTCTGTTTGAATTAATTTTGTAAGATTACTCGAGGCGCTGTATCAAATGCTTTGCTAAAAATCAAGATATATTACCCTGCCTGCGTTTCCTTCATCTACCAGTCTTGTAATTCTATCAGGAAAGCTATCAAGTTTGTCAGGCATGATTTGTTCTTTATAAATCCCCATGGTGCTGTGTGGGGGCACAGGGTTCCCGCGTTTTCTAAATGTTTAGAGATTCTCTCTTTGTGTTTGTTCCTTGGTTAGAGCTGGAAGGCGGTGAGCTGGGGATCGCTGGCAGCATGGCCTCTTTCACAGTGATGAGGGGAGGCCGGGCCCTGCTCTTCTCTGGAGCCTCTAGGGTGCCCGTGAGTTGTTAGCGGCTTCTGAGTGTGCAGGTGCCCCAAGCCCAACACTGAGGGAGGGGAGCTCCCCGGAGCTATCCTTCAAGGATTCTGCAGGGTATAGAAAACGGCATTCTGAAGATAGCGCTAATTGAGCGATGTCTGCAGACCCATCCCAGTGCTGAGAACTCACTGTACTTGACTGAGTCCTGTGAACCGGGCGTGGCCTTCCCTTCCTGTGTGCAGGGCTCAGAGAGGGTCAGGCTGCGGGAGACTGCAGGCCTGGTTTCCACCTGCCTGCGCTGCTTCAGCGTGCACTATGGGTCAGCAGGATCAGGAAAGCTGAGTGGGAGGTCCAGACAGTGCAGGGGGAAGTTAGGAAAGGAGGTTGACAGGCAGGCTCCCGCAGCATACTCTGCTGCGTCTGAGTTGTGTGATCCATCCACCTAAATGGTCTTTCCGTAAAGAGGGAGTTACAGATTCTTAATTTCACTGCGTGTGCACGCACACATACTGCATATGTGCTGCGCTGTAGCACTGAGAGGAGGCCAGAGACTAACTTGTGGGCGGTTCTCCTTCTGCTATGTGGGTAATTTCTGAACACGAGGCTGGGTGACAGCCACCTTTACCCGATGAGACATGGCTTGGCCCTTTATGTAACCCTTCGGAGTCTTACCTGGGAAGTAGACACAGCTGTGTCTGCACCCTCAGCTCCCCGAAAGGTCTCCTAGGGTGATACATGGCAGCCACCCATGGTTCTGAACTCTAGCTGTCCTAGGGGAACAGCTACGTGACACCTTACTCAGAGGTCCTTGTCCATAGCGGCCAGAGATGCTCATTCTACTTGTGACAAGTGTGGGTAGAGCGTGGTGCCTTCTTTTTCTGTCACCCAGGAGAGGTGGCAAATGAGACACACAGGCATGTCCTTGGCTCCAGCTTCCCTGGCAAGCTCTAGGTGTAGAGAGAAGGGTTGCCCCTTTGGCCTTGAGCCTAAGCCCTGCATTCAGTCCGTCCAATTTCAGGCCTAGAAGTCATAAAGTCATTCTCTGATGT